ACTGTACACTACCATACTGTACACTGTACACCTGCCTATATACACTGTACACTTCCTATACACTGTACACTACCATGCCATTACTTTTGATGGATTTCTCTACAAGTTTCACATAATGCGGCAATCTTTCTTTATTTTAGGATTATCAAGATATTTTGAGTAAATTAAGCTTCTTAAGAATGTCTGAATATATATCAATAATAGATCACGAGTAAGTAAAAACCATTTGTTACCAATCACACATTGATAACATGTCTTTGTTCAAAAATTGTGATTTGTCTTTATGTAAAACGCAATACCCGTTTCATAATGGTCTGAATAGATGAATAATGGTCGGATACAGGGGGCTCTTTTAAATGAAGAAAATGTATGTTATGTTGTTGTTATAAAATAAATTATTCATATAACTKCCGKCTTCTTGAATCTCATCCGATAGCCAAAAAAGGCGTAAACCCGGCAGATCTTTGACGGGTCGRAAGGAGTGATTACTTGATTACAAATGAATAGAGGTTTTAATGACGACGTCGTGCTWTTTGTAGMGTTATGGGCCAGCTCGGTGCTCCGGTTTGATAATCCCTTTGTATTGATCTTAATCTGCTTATTTGGAAAGATCAGAAATAGGCGAATAGATTAACTGATAACTTCTTCTTCATGTGGGACAGAAGTTATATAAGAGCATGTGTAGTAGGTAAATGATTGACGTACTAAGCCATGTAGGATGGAATCACAGTATATTATGTCGTCCCGATAATTGGTTTATGTTCCTTATGTCGAGCCTCGACCATGCTGCATCCTAGTTGGTTACTTTTGATATCTTATGTGTATGTTTCTTTGCAGTGCTGTATTTTGGTTGGGTGATCTTAACTATCGTGTTAATGATATCGACGCTGAACGCTGCAAGATACTCATTGAGAAGGGACGTTTGGACAAGTTACTGGAAAACGATCAGCTCAACGTCCAGAAAAACCTCAAGAAATGCTTCGTAGGATTCGAAGAGGGTCCGATTACATTTAAGCCTACATATAAATATGACCCAGGGACTGATAACTGGGACTCGAGGTAAAGTAACTCATGATCCTTTGCAATATTCATCAGCTTCAAATAACTCTCTAGGTAGCGAAAAACTAAAAATGACAAAAAGAAGACTTTATAGACGTTAGTTTTACTGATAGTTTCTAATACGATATTTGCGTCTTGGTTGTGATATGAAAAGCTTTGCAGTTACTCTTCTCTAGTATAAAAYCAAGTGGACGCGCAAACATAACTAATAAGGTTTGCGAACTTACTTGTCTCCATGGCAACACCGCAGCCAGAAAGAGTTGAACTAAGGCACTCGCCTCGCACACACTCTGTCTGTACTTAAATGTTCAAACAGAAGRAACGWGTAATTTCTGATCACTTTAAGTAAACAAACAAGTAAACACACTAAGCAGTCCATTGCCTCGGTTCTTATTTTCGTTTGGCTACGCCCTTTCTTGGCTTGCAGCAAAATTAGTTTAACTAAGCGAGAAAAGTGGCTGAAGTCCACAAATTATAAACTTCGTGATCTGCATTGTGTTGTTGTTTTGTTTCACTATGATTTTACAATTTCCTTTCTTTTCATTTTTCTGTAGTGAGAAGTCAAGAGCCCCGGCATGGTGTGATCGTGTGTTATACCGTGGGTCTAACGTCAAACTGATAGCATATCGTAGTCATAATTCACTGCGTATCAGTGATCACAAGCCTGTTAGCACTTTATTTGGTGTGGGGGTAAGCCTATCTTATTACTGAACCAAATCCAAAAGCACTCGATTCTTTCGAGTTGCCATTTTAACGACAAGATACAAAAGCTCAGCTTGTCGCGCAACATGGTT